GTCCACAAAGCTCTTGTTTTACTGTTTCTTGTTTACTTGTTTGCTTGTAGTTCATTTTCTGTTTGGATTTTATGTAATGAACTGCACAATCTTCACTTACTTCTTTAGCTTGACAACTTGCCATTTCTGCAGCACGACATGTGTCTATTGCTTTTAAAAGAGTTAATCTATCATCACGCAGTAATTTCTCTCGATAAGCACTGTTGTACACGCCACACACTATTCTGTCTCTAACCAAACTGTCTTTGAGTTGTCCAAATTCACAAGATTTAGCTTTTTGTTGCAATTCACTAACATACTGATCTATTGTCTGGTCTGACTTTTGTGAACATGTAAAAAATTTGTATCTCTCAAATGTCACATTTTTTCTGGGAACACAGTATTGCTCAAATTTTTCTAAGATTTTTTCAACTTTCTGTTTATCTTCCTCTTCAGCCCATTCAAAAGAATTAAATACTTCTCTGGCATTTTCTCCAATGCAATGCAGCAATAAAGATGACTTGTAGACATCAGGTTTGTTTTTACCATCAACAGTAATGGTGTAGTAGCATTCCCATGCTAGCTTGAAACGGCGCCAGTTTTCACTCACATTTCCTGCAAGTTCCAAAGGTTTGGGAGGCTCCAAGTTATTCATTTTTGTTGTCAGTAACTTCTTTGATGGGTAGACTTACTTCTGACACCATGTAGTGGTTTGTAACAATAAGTGAAGAAAGGTACTTCGTGTTAAAAAGCCTTTTATTCAGACCATGTGGTCAGCATGGTGGCCATCTTGTTACAACTCAAGGGAGAGCACTCTCGTTGGCTTAGCTGCTAGATACTGCTTGGGTATGACTACTTAATATAGATTAATGGACTTCTGTTGACATTAACACTTATCATTACATTCATTGTTGATGTATTGTCTGTATTGTGCTGCAGGATATATTCGGTACACATTGTTGGTGTATATTGTCTGTATTGTGCTGCAGGATATGTTTGGTATACATTGTTGGTATATTGTCTATATTGTGCTGTAGGATATATTCGGTATACATTGTTGGTGTATATTGTCTGTATTGCGCTGCAGGATATATTTGGCATACATTGTTGGTGTATATTGTCTGTATTGTGCTGCAGGATATATTCGGCATACATAGTTGGTGTATATTGTCTGTATTGTGCTGCAGGATATAATTGATATACATTGTTGGTGTATATTGTCTGTATTGCGCTGCAGGATATATTTGGCATACATTGTTGGTGTATATTGTCTGTATTGTGCTGCAGGATATATTTGGTATTCATTGTTGATGTATTGTCTGTATTGTGCTGCAGGATATATTAGGTACACATTGTTGGTGTATATTGTCTGTATTGTGCTGCAGGATATGTTTGGTATACATTGTTGGTATATTGTCTATATTGTGCTGTAGGATATATTCGGTATACATTGTTGGTGTATATTGTCTGTATTGCGCTGCAGGATATATTTGGCATACATTGTTGGTGTATATTGTCTGTATTGTGCTGCAGGATATATTCGGCATACATAGTTGGTGTATATTGTCTGTATTGTGCTGCAGGATATAATTGATATACATTGTTGGTGTATATTGTCTGTATTGCGCTGCAGGATATATTTGGCATACATTGTTGGTGTATATTGTCTGTATTGTGCTGCAGGATATAATTGATATACATTGTTGGTGTATATTGTCTGTATTGCGCTGCAGGATATATTTGGCATACATTGTTGGTGTGTTGTCTGTATTGTGCTGCAGGATATATTCGGTATACATTGTTGGTGTATATTGTCTGTATTGTGCTGCAGGATATATTTGGCATACATTGTTGGTGTATATTGTCTGTATTGTGCTGCAGGATATATTTGGCATACATAGTTGGTGTATATTGTCTGTATTGTGCTGCAGGATATAATTGATATACATTGTTGGTGTATATTGTCTGTATTGCGCTGCAGGATATATTTGGCATACATTGTTGGTGTGTTGTCTGTATTGTGCTGCAGGATATATGCGGTATACATTGTTGGTGTATTGTCTGTATTGTGCTGCAGGATATATTCGGTACACATTGTTGGTGTATATTGTCTGTATTGTGCTGCAGGATATGTTTGGTATACATTGTTGGTATATTGTCTATATTGTGCTGTAGGATATATTTGGCATACATTGTTGGTGTATATTGTCTGTATTGTGCTGCAGGATATATTCAGTATACATTGTTGGTGTGTTGTCTGTATTGTGCTGCAGGATATATGCGGTATACATTGTTGGTGTATTGTCTGTATTGTGCTGCAGGATATATTCGGTACAAATGGTTGGTGTATATTGTCTGTATTGTGCTGCAGGATATGTTTGGTATACATTGTTGGTATATTGTCTATATTGTGCTGTAGGATATATTTGGCATACATTGTTGGTGTATATTGTCTGTATTGTGCTACAGGATATATTTGGTATACATTGTTGGTGTATATTGTCTGCATTGTGCTGCAGGATATATTCTGAATACATTGTTGGTGTATATTGTCTGTATTGTGTTGCAGGATATATTCGGCATACATTGTTGGTGTATATTGTCTGTATTGTGCTGCAGGATATATTTGGTATACATTGTTGGTGTATATTGTCTGTATTGAGCTATAGGATATATTCAGCATACATTGTTTGGGTATTGTCTGTATTGTGCTGCAGGATATATTCAGCATACATTGTTGGTGTATTGTCTGTATTGTGCTGCAGGATATATTCAGCATACATTGTTGGTGTGTTGTCTGTATTGTGCTGCAGGATATATTCAGCATACATTGTTTGTGTATTGTCTGTATTGTGCTGCAGGATATATTCGGTATACATTGTTGGTGTATTGTCTGTATTGTGCTACAGGATATATTCAGCATACATTGTTGGTGTATTGTCTGTATTGTGCTACAGGATATATTCAGCATACATTGTTGGTGTATTGTCTGTATTGTGCTGCAGGATATATTCAGCATACATTGTTTGTGTATTGTCTGTATTGTGCTGCAGGATATATTCGGTATACATTGTTGGTGTATTGTCTGTATTGTGCTGCAGGATATATTCAGCATACATTGTTGGTGTATTGTCTGTATTGTGCTGCAGGATATATTCAGCATACATTGTTGGTGTATTGTCTGTATTTTGCTACAGGATATATTCAGCATACATTGTTGGTGTATTGTCTGTATTGTGCTGCAGGATATATTCGGTATACATTGTTGGTGTATTGTCTGTATTGTGCTGCAGGATATATTCGGTATACATTGTTGGTGTATTGTCTGTATTGTGCTGCAGGATATATTCGGTATACATTGTTGGTGTATTGTCTGTATTGTGCTGCAGGATATATTCAGCATACATTGTTGGTGTATTGTCTGTATTGTGCTGCAGGATATATTCGGTATACATTGTTGGTGTATTGTCTGTATTGTGCTGCAGGATATATTCAGCATACATTGTTGGTATATTGTCTGTATTGAGCTATAGGATATATTCAGCATACATTGTTTGGGTATTGTCTGTATTGTGCTGCAGGATATATTCAGCATACATTGTTGGTGTATTGTCTGTATTGTGCTGCAGGATATATTCAGCATACATTGTTGGTGTGTTGTCTGTATTGTGCTGCAGGATATATTCAGCATACATTGTTTGTGTATTGTCTGTATTGTGCTGCAGGATATATTCGGTATACATTGTTGGTGTATTGTCTGTATTGTGCTACAGGATATATTCAGCATACATTGTTGGTGTATTGTCTGTATTGTGCTACAGGATATATTCAGCATACATTGTTGGTGTATTGTCTGTATTGTGCTGCAGGATATATTCAGCATACATTGTTTGTGTATTGTCTGTATTGTGCTGCAGGATATATTCGGTATACATTGTTGGTGTATTGTCTGTATTGTGCTGCAGGATATATTCAGCATACATTGTTGGTGTATTGTCTGTATTGTGCTGCAGGATATATTCAGCATACATTGTTGGTGTATTGTCTGTATTTTGCTACAGGATATATTCAGCATACATTGTTGGTGTATTGTCTGTATTGTGCTGCAGGATATATTCGGTATACATTGTTGGTGTATTGTCTGTATTGTGCTGCAGGATATATTCGGTATACATTGTTGGTGTATTGTCTGTATTGTGCTGCAGGATATATTCGGTATACATTGTTGGTGTATTGTCTGTATTGTGCTGCAGGATATATTCAGCATACATTGTTGGTGTATTGTCTGTATTGTGCTGCAGGATATATTCAGCATACATTGTTGGTGTATTGTCTGTATTGTGCTGCAGGATATATTCAGCATACATTGTTGGTGTATTGTCTGTATTGTGCTGCAGGATATATTCAGCATACATTGTTGGTGTATTGTCTGTATTGTGCTGCAGGATATATTCTGTATACATTGTTGGTGTATTGTCTGTATTGTGTTGCAGGATATATTCAGCATACATTGTTGGTGTATTGTCTGTATTGTGCTACAGGATATATTCAGCATACATTGTTGGTGTATTGTCTGTATTGTGCTACAGGATATATTCAGCATACATTGTTGGTGTATTGTCTGTATTGTGCTGCAGGATATATTTGGCATACATTGTTGGTGTATTGTCTGTATTGTGCTACAGGATATATTCAGCATACATTGTTGGTGTATTGTCTGTATTGTGCTGCAGGATATATTCGGTATACATTGTTGGTGTATTGTCTGTATTGTGCTACAGGATATATTCAGCATACATTGTTGGTGTATTGTCTGTATTGTGCTGCAGGATATATTCGGTATACATTGTTGGTGTATTGTCTGTATTGTGCTGCAGGATATATTCAGCATACATTGTTGGTGTATTGTCTGTATTGTGCTGCAGGATATATTCAGCATACATTGTTGGTGTATTGTCTGTATTGTGCTGCAGGATATATTCAGCATACATTGTTGGTGTATTGTCTGTATTGTGCTGCAGGATATATTCGGCTCCATGAAGGTGATGCCATCAAGCTCAGGGTACAGTCTGGGCAGCTGTAACTGGGTCATCAAATCAGCACACGAGAAGGTAACCAGAGCACTTTACTTCAGAAAATAAACTTACCCCAACTTTGGTCTGGGGCTCTATTCAGCAGATCTTACATCTGGAGAAAATCGTAACTATGAGGAAGCATGCGACATAAGCTGGATTTATTACCTCATGTTAGTGCTGTCCTTACCTACATCTCTGAAAATCAATGTTGTACAAATGCTAATGTTTTAGTAAATATTTTAGTAATCTCATCCAACATCCAGCCTGTTTTACATATTTTGGCTAACCCCTTCATCTAGCATTGCTATGTTTTACCTTACCTGATGCTACACAGTGCTTTAGCTTCCTACCTTTTATAAACAGACAGTACTGGAACCGAGATACATTTGTGACAAACTATAGCCCGTGCCCCAATACCCACAATTTATCCGCCTTGGCCAGTACTCCCTTATATTTTTCTCTGTCAGCCTTATGACAGATGTGTGTTTTAAAACAGTCATCTTATGCTTTAAAAAATAAAAGAATTGGTTCTCTGGCAATGGCTTTTAAAAATATAATGCGGGTGGGTGGCCTTTTTTTTTTTTTTTTTTTTTTTTTTTTTTAAATAAGTATTTAACAATCAATCTGGAAAGGGGCCTCCCTACATAAATGTATTCCTTGATGAGTAAAATACTAGAATACAATACTTGTCTACTGTTGGACTACCAGTAAGTGCATAATACACGCATACAATGAGCTTTGATTTTATTTCACAATGCAAAAACATTATCGTGAGCACAAAACACTGCAAGAAGCATGTCAACAAATCTATACTCAAGTATGCAAGTTACTCCTATCTGGCTATAAAAGTCGATCGAGGATAAAATGTGTGAACAGCTGATTGCTATTTCTGGCGAGACAAATACATATGTAATCTTCTCTGAGTATGACATTGTCCGCCACACATTACACAAATACCATTGAATTTGTAAACATCATGTCTAGTGATGTTCTATCATAAATTTCATGTTTTCATTGACCAAGCACACGGCAAAAAAAAGCATTGTGTGTTCTAGACATGGAATATTTAAGGATTTTTTTGGTTGAAAAAAGAAATAGAAGCGAAACGTGCAGCCACCTTTGTGATGATGCGGCGGTGCCTGAGAACCAAGAATATATTTTTTAGCCACGGTTGAAGCCCATTTGTAGTATGCCCTGCTGTAATATTGCTGAAAGTGACTTTAAACCATACTCACTCACTCACTCACTCAATGAGTTAATGTTCCACAATGTTGCAGGTTTGCTATGTATCGGGTTCCTCCACTCTGACAACACATCCAAAGGTAGGTCCAGCATGTACATGGCTATGTTGTGGTTCAGTGTTTCTCAGCTTGATCAGTGTATACAGTACCGTGATTCAGTGTTCCTCAGCTTCATCAGTGCATACAGTACCGTAATTCAGTGTTCCTCAGCTTCATCAGTGCATACAGTACTGTGATTCAGTGTTCCTCAGCTTGATCAGTGCGTACAGTACTGTGATTCAGTGTTTCTCAGCTTCATCAGTGCATACAGTACCGTAATTCAGTGTTCCTCACCTTGATCAGTGCATACAGTACTGTAATTCAGTGTTCCTCAGCTTGATCAGTGCATACAGTACTGTGATTCAGTGTTCCTCAGCTTGATCAGTGCATAAAGTACTGTGATTCAGTGTTCCTCAGCTTGATCAGTGCATTCAGTACTGTGATTCAGTGTTCCTTAACTTCATCAGTGCATACAGTACCATAATTCAGTCATATGGACTGTCATGTAAAGTCTCATCTCAATCTGGGTGCTGATTAAAATTACTTCCAGATTTGTTTAGAAGTTGGTCAGAGAGTGCTTATTGGAGCTTAATATGGTGAATATGGAATCCCAATTGTGTCTTTATATAAGGAAAAGTATCGCAGTAGTTTTTTAAGTACCTGTACCATACAGATGTAGATTTCCTTGTACATTTAGTTGACCTGATAACACAACTGCCAAATTAAAGATCAAGCAGATTGCAGAGGAAGTTTAGGCAGCTAACTGATTATTGTCTGATGTTACTTTATGAACATATTCTGAATGGCTGAATGTTTACTCAAGTGTATCTTCAAGCAAGGTGTATTCCGGATCAAACAAAATGCCAAGTGATCAACAGTTTGTATTTAACTTGGTGTGGTCGGGTGGCCTTGTGGTTAAAGCGTTCGCTCATCACACCAAAGACCCGGTTTGATTCCCGACATGGGTACAATGTGTGAAGCCCATTTCTTGTGTCCCCCCTCCGCGATATTGGTCAAATATTGCTAAAAGCGGCGTAAAACCGTACTCACTCACTCACGCACTCACTTGTATTTAACTAGGTGTCTGTTGCTAATATTGTGATGGGGACATTGACAGTTGTAATGCAACAATGACAGCATGTATTTTACTGTGTGTGTCGTTTATACTGCCTTCGGTATATTCGGACATTTCAATTGTGATGCATCGATAGTTGCCTCAATCGTTACACCCTGTAACATAAATCTTTCCACCTGCAGCCCATGGAGCAAGCACCGCTACGGAACAGCGACATCCTCATCCTCAGTTGCCTGACCCAGACTCCACTGGCCAACCCTGACCCTATGATAGGAGAGTTCTGTGTCAATGCAGGTAATTCACGTCTCCACAGCAAATATAACATAAATGCAAGTGACAATATTCATAAGAAATCTCTGCCACAAGCAGAGTCAATTGGACGATTCGGACTGTATCATGATCATGTGTTTATGATGTAACGTGTCGATTCCAAAACTGAAACAATATGGTAATCTAGAAATCTGTACGTAAAAGAACCTAATGTGAAACCAACAAACAACCAACAAATGGTATACAATCAACAAATGTATTACAAAATTCGCTAAGTTTACAAATCAGCACAAATTACTGCACAGCATTTACAATGGCAGAGAACAATAGAGTGGTTGTACAATATTCAATGACAGTATGTGATATGATGGCAGTGGTCAGTATCAAATACAAAAATACAGCGGGGATAGCAAAAGTTAGTGGAATTGTATATCCCCCAAGCGACAACAGTGGTCAAGCTTCCGAGATGGGTTAGGCAGGGAATCAGGGATGATGAGTGATCCTCACATGAAGGCGGGTACAGAAGCGATGAAAAAGCGTGAGAGAAAGACCAATGTGTGAGAGATACATAAGCACGCTACTGTCCCCATATACAGTCAAGTCCCGTTAATCCGACAAGGTTGGTTGCATATGATTATGTCAGATTAACGAGTATGTCAGATAAACGAAATTAAGTAGTATCAATGTTTGTAATCGAAAATCGGACAACTACACCAAAGATAACGATACAAACATGTAATAAAAAAATATAAATGAAATAATCATATTGTTATGTTACATTGTTTGCAGAATTTGTTTTCTAATCATGCAACTTCTAAAGCTCAACACAAAACAACTGTTACGGACTGTATGACTTCATTAAAAAACATAGTCTGGAATGGAAGTCGCAAGTTAGAAACTGGTACCGCAAAAGCTGCTTTCTAAGTGGCTAACGTTGACTTCCTGTTAGTCATTTCATTGGTCGGTCATAGTCGTGAAAGGTTGTTCTTACATGACCTGTAATGGGATGCCCTTGGCGATAGCAAGAACTTGTATCTTGATTTTAAGGAGATTGAGGTAATCAAAGCATGTGATTAATCCTGTTTTGTTTACTTAAAACAGTAATTGTTTATTGTTAAGCAAGTTAATCTCTGCAGCCGTTGGAATATGCAACTACTCGCCGATTCGTCTCGCATAAAAACACAGGGCTGTGTACTCGGGGGTAGATGACCACGGAGTACGCTGATCACTGTGTCAGATTAACGAGACTGATTAATGAGTGATTTCGGTAATTCATTGCAAATTATGTGTGTCGGAGTCGGAGTGCGAGACTGTCGGATTAACGGGTCTAAATAGAACTGATTTAATTGGTTCCCATCATTAGTGTCGGTTAAAGCCGATTGTCGGATTAACGAGTCTCGGATTAACGAGACTTGACTGTATATAATCCAACTCGCTTCCAGAACACCACAGAATATTCCATACCAATCCACATTTTACCGGATGTTTACACACCACACTAATATCTAAATATAGTAACTTCCTGACGACTGCTTAGATAAAATAGTACTACTTACCTAACGTCTAATCACTGCCAAACACAATGAAATGAGCGTCTACCGAATCTCATTTGAAACAATATAACACAGTTACTATTATTGTTTACCAATAAAATACACTGCCATATAACAATGAATCACTATCACACACTGGTGATACCAGGTATTGCCAAAAAGGTGACCAGTTCTTTTATTTTTGTTGTAAATATGTTTTGAAAGGGCCTTTGAAATTAATTTCGGGCCACCGTAATATAGCTGGAATATTGCATACTGTCATGTACCACAGCTCTCACTCCCATAAAACCCAGTCAATATACAGTAAACTACGTTTATAACGAACACGTTTATATCGAACTGACTTATAACGAACTGGGTTTTTTTCCCGGTCATTTGTTGTATATTAGCTGTATATAAGCTGTCTATATGCTTATAACGAAGTACGGTTATAACAAAATAAAATTAGAGGTCCATTTGAGTTCATTATAACCATAGTTAACTTGGTATAGGGTGCCTGAAGATACTCAGTGACATAGTAACCAGAATTCACAGTACTGATTTCATCTCTCAGCTTCCAGGAGCTGCAGGCATGGGTTCAAGTCCAAGATGGTTCTTATCTTTGGTTTGTCAGTACCGTACCTGTTCTACTGGATGTCAACAAAATACAGTGTGGTTTCATGTCAGGTTTTCCTACACTTTGAGCAGTAAGATTCTACCTCCATTGTCCACAATGGAGGTGCTAAGGGTTATTTCCGCTGGGTGTTCTAGAATAGTGTAGCACATGTTTCCTACTCATAACAAAGGGAAGAAGCATGTCAATATATTTATGTAAACCAAGCGGTTTTTAGTTTTCATCCCTGAAAATATATCTTTCTCAGTTTTTCATCTTGACATTCAACAATCATGTCAATATTTTCAGCTGTGACGATCAAGAACGGAGGGAATGTACTCGTCCCATGCTACCCATCGGGGGTGACCTATGACCTGTTTGAGTGTCTGTCAGGTCATATGGACCAGTGCGGCCTCGCCCACGTCCCTCTCTACTTCCTGTCTCCAGTCTCCGATAGCACACTGGCATACTCCAATATATTTGCAGAGTGGTAAGTCTTTGAGGTTACACTAGCATACTCCAATATATTGTGGGTATTTCATTTTTTCGTGTCAATTTTGTTTAGAAAGTATGGTAATTCCTTGGGGACCCATGGTAGAACAGGTCCAAGGGTAACCTTCTACCCAGGCCACTGCAGGCGACCTGCATCCATGGATCAATTTAGATCAGCTTCATCCCTTTGGAGCCAATCTCAAGACATAACTTGAGATGATGGACAATCCTGAGAGAGTTCTGTTTCCACTCACCACTTATTTGTCGACACATCGTCACAGGGTTGTGGAGCTCACATGGATTTCTAGCATTCTCGTAGGAAGGCATGAATGCTTATGTATTCCTGACTCCAGCACTGTTACCCAGAGTTCTGCGGAAGTTTGGGGAGATGCAGATAGTCCCAGTTGCCGATGGTTTACGGCACTGAAAAGACTCGCTGGCGATCTGACCTTGGAGCTTCCATATTGGGACAGACCACTCATCAATCCACATATGAAGCTGGCACTTCCAGTGCCCTGCACTTGTAGTTGATCTACAAAGGGTGTTGATGGCTAGAGGGTTCTTGTAGGTGCCACAAGCGGTAGTGAAGGCACCGTAATTCTACTAGAATACTTGGTTGCAAAAAGATAATGAATCCTTTGAAGGCTACTGTTCAATGTATTGCTGATTATTTGCTGTACTTATGTACGACTATTAGGAAGTTGCGGGGAGGTTGCATTGGTACATACATAGCAGTTCTCAAGTCTGTACTGGGAGGATGTAGATTGAAGAATAACAATGCTTAAGAGCTTACATCTTGGAGATCAGAAAAACTTCTTTAGACCTCCTGCATGAGATCTGGGTGGTGTTACAACATTTAACCACTGGTCCCTACGAGCCACCACCACCAGCAGCAGTATTACAGTTTCTTACTTTGAAAACTATGTTTTGGCATGCCATGGCACGGTGCATGCGTTAGATGTTACGGAAGTGCAGCTTGAGAGAGGGGCTCATGGGAAGGTGTATCTGGATCTCATGTGGGACTTTGATGCTAAGAATCAGCAAATGGGATGAGAAAACCGCTGGTACATCTTTGTCTATGGTCTTGTGCCTATAAGAAGACAAAGGGAAAGCTTTCCTCTCAATGCGTCTTACATCAAGACTGAGTTCTCCAAGAGTACCAAGGTATTTTGGTTATGGGCAACCATCCCACAGGCATATACCGGTAGACATACAGGGCTGGATCCAACTCACAGTCCACACTAGATAGATTAGAGCGCTGACATGATCAAGGGATATTCTGGGAAGACAGAAAGTGCATTTGCTAATTACTATCTTCAGGATTTGGAAAATGTAAAAGATGTGCAATGTTTGTGCAAGGTCCTGTTCGGACTGCTGGTGTAAGCACAACCGTTGATGCTGCCGCCTGCATACATCAAGAATTGAAGTTGAAGGCTACCAGATATTTCGCCTCATGTTACATGGTGTTTTAATAAATGTTCTGAGGGATTGTTAGCACTTGTTATTTGCTACAACTTGATGTTCCGATCCTCCAGGCGTCACATACCGTATACCGCACAGGTTCTTGACCATGGAGCGTGGCTTTGCATGTTAGAGTAAGGGTGTGACAGGTGATAAAGGATTAGTGAAGATGAGATGCTTGGGCAGCCTAAGTCTACTCCATGAAGTAATCCGGTCCAGGTTACTGACAGGTCAGCATCTCTAACAGCAGATGCCGCCACCAACTGTGGGATAAGTTAGCAATTTGCTGTATCAGAATAAGAAATAATTTGCATTAATAATAATCATAATCATCATTATCATCATCATCTTGTTCTAATACAATAAATCTGAATCCCACCCTGTCTAAAGTTTTTTAGAGGTTTTTCAAATGAGAGAAAAGTGAGGGTTCCAGGGGAGGTAACTCTAAGCACCACATAGCAGAGCAGCATGTTTTGGGTTCTCTGTTATGGGATCGAAGAGAGAGTGAATTTGCAATATGTTGTAACAGGATAAGTTTATGAATAAAGTAAATATTCTGATTTATGTAAATTTCTTTGTGAAGACTTGTATAAAGATGTTCATGTATATTTTCAGGTTATCCCAGTCCAAGCAGTCCAAGGTGTATTTGCCTGAGCCCCCCTTCCCACATGCAGAGGTAAATACAGTCTTCCATTAATCTTTAATCTGGCCAAAATGTTTTATGAAAGTGACTGCATTAACAAACTGAAAATGCTTTTTTTTTAGCTCTGCCTTTTGTGACATATTAGTGGTTATTTTCATTTAAACGTTTATGTACAATTGGTGGAGTTGGTCTGAACTGCCCAATCATTTCTTGTTTCAGCTTGTCAGTCTGGGAAGACTGAAGAACTTCAAGAGTGTTCATGGTAAGATATGTAATGACTATATCAATATTGTTTTGAACAAAGACACTTTTGTTATTAGCAGATCCAACTGGCAGGCGACAGTGACTGATTGTTTGTCATCTTGACCCCATCAATGGGTGTTTGTTCTTTCTGTCGACCACTAGTTTCCTCTGCCCACACTTGGTTATATGCAAGCCACCAGGACATAATGTGAACATTGTGAACACTGACATCAGCAAAATTAACACTCAATTCAGTCAACGTAAGGAAAGTGATATGACCTTCAAGTGTTTTTTTACTTGCCCGTGAGACCCGTGAAGGTCTGTGTTAGAATAAGTCTTCTACATTCCATGCTTTCTGTAAAAGATGACTATGCTTGTCATCAGAGGGGACTAACGGGATCGGGTGGTCAGGCTTGCTGACTTGTTTGATGTATGTCATTGTATCCCAAATGCATAGATCGATGCTCATGATGTCCATCACTGGATTGTCTGGCCTAGACTATATTATTTACAGACCACTGTCATATTGCTGAGTGCAGCATTAACAAACAAACAAACAAACAAACAAACAAACAAACAAACAAACAAACAAAACTTTTCGATGATGACTTAATCTACTTATCTACTTATTTATTCTTCTCAAACTTACAATGATAGTTATACATAATAACAGTTGTTTCCCTTTGTTGATATTCTTCAGCTAATGAGGTCATTTCCTCACGTGACCAAATTCCATGATGCACAAAACATCATTGATCAGATGTTCAGAAAGGGCAGATTTCATATCAAGTTTTTCAACTTAGGTCTTGTGTTCTTTTATTCTTGTGGCTATGGGGTGTGAAGTCTCTCCAATGAATTTGTGTCCACGTTTGCATGATATCTCAAACCCAAATCTCTTAGAGTTTGGGGTGGACTGGGTGGGACCTTTGCCACTGGGGTGTAAGATGTTTTTAAGTGTCTTGTCAGAGGTGAAAGTCACATCTATGTTGGCTGTTATTTTTAGAAATGTCCTGATCTGGTGGTTGATAGGGCCTTGGTATGGGATGCAACACAGCTGTTGCCTTAAGCAATGCAAATCTGACGAATCAAGCAGGAATACTGTTGTGCATCTTTGCCACCTAGCTATTTCACGAACAGCGACAAACTTTAGTTTGATTCCCATGTTTAATATATGTCAACTCCAGTGGTCCTTGTTTAGAATATATTTTTTGGGTGCAAAAACACTATCAGCTTATCAGCGGGGTGAATAAAAGAGAAAATTCGAATTTCTTTTCTTTCCCATTTCAACAAAATTTACAGTCGGTGGATCTGAAAAGAGTGTGGCCTAAACATTCAGTATGCTCATAAACTTAGCATAAGTGTCCTTGAATAAGGCAACGTGTCAGATAATTGCCAATTATCAATTTCCAAGAACAAATAACCAACATCAGGGGTTTCTGAAAACTTCAGTGAGGTAGTGTTTTTAGTTGATCTTGGCTTTAATCACTGTGCAATGGTAAAGTATAGAAATACCACTCTTTCACCTTTTGAAACTGTTTTTTTTCTCACTGCCGGCTATGTACTAAGTTGAGGATATTTGTTAAATAACATGTTTATCTCATTAAGTGACCTGACAGTAAATTTGTCATGAGTGGCACAGTTTCGGATTCATGTCATGACATAAATAAACATGTTCTTTTACAAGAATGTTCTATTCATTATATATTTTCGTAGTATTTATGATCTCATACAGAAAACCTTTGAGGCTGCTTTAAGGAGAACTGGCACAGGTGGTATTTTACTGGAACTAAATATCAATTTTCTGTTTTCAGATATAGTCTTAAGCATTAACATGTCTAAGGGCTCCCTAGATTCTAATTCTATAGGAGAAGCACCTTTAATTTCCAACACTGAAATTAGTCCTATTTCATCATTAGATACCTAGTACACCATTGTGTTACAGATGGTCTGGGCACAGACTTCAAGACACCGTGTGTGATGTTTGCTGGCCATCCTTCCCTGAGGCTGGGGGATGCTGTTCACTTCATAGAACTGTGGGGCAAGTCGGCCAGCAACACCGTCATATTTACAGGTCAGGTCAACGATGGTTTAAAATAGGTCTTCAGCGAATCATGCCTGTCGTAAGAGGCGACTAATGGGATTGAGTGGTTAGGCTTGCTGACTTATTTGATGCAGGTCATTGTATCCCAATTGTGTGGATAGATGCTCATGATATCAATCACTGGATTGTCTTGTCCAGACTTTATTATTAACAGACCACTGTCATATAGCTGGAATATTGCTGATTGCAGCATTAAACAACAAACAAACAAACAAACAAACAAACGAATCTTGTACAATAGGACCCCAGCATCCTGTGCTTGTTGTAAAGTGATTTTGCTTGAAAAAAGCTGGACATCCTTCTATACTACTAAAAAGACGTGAAAGAACACCAGCACCATACCCGTGCTCGTGGGTTTCACCGAAGTGGTAAACATCACTTCGGGCTTTCCTGCCACATTAAGCTGACATCCTGTGATATAACTGGAATACTGTTTAAAGCGGCGTTAAACCCAACTCACTCACTGTCTAAAATAACTGTTGGCATACTTGCATTCTTCCAATGGAGAACACTGTTCACTATACCTTGTTTAGACCCGAACGTGCTGATGCTGCAACCACTGGGATAAATGTTATGTGGGCCACAAAGATGAGATGCTTCATTTTGCATTTGCTATACATTAATATGTATTTTGAGACATTTCATATATAATAGAGCTTGTAAATAATATTATATCACTGTCCGAGTGATATCTGCTTCTAATTTCAGAGCCAGACTTTCCATATTTAGAAGCACTGGGACCATTCCAGCCTTTAGCCATGAGGGTAGGCAGATTGTTTGTTTTGTGTGGAAATCTATCTCAGTCTTACATCAATGTATTTTGGGTGATTGTGTTAAAATGCTGGCTAATAACGTGTGTTCTTGTGTTGATGTAGGAAGCCTTGTGTTGCAGGTGTGTTACTGTCCGATAGACACCAGTCTCAGTTTTGCTCAGGCCAACAAGCTCATCAAAGATCTGCGGCCACTTCACCTGGTGGTGGCTGAGACCTACACCTCCCCTCCACTGCTGGCCCCACAGAGGACAGACCTCACCATATCATGGGTAGGACAGACCTCACCATATCATGGGTAGGACAGACCTCACCATATCGTGGGTAGGACAGACCTCACCATATCGTGAGTAGGACAGACCTCACCCTATCGTGGGTAGGACAGACCTCACCATATCATGGGTAGGACAGACCTCACCATATCATGGGTAGGACAGACCTCACCATATCGTGGATAGGACAGACCTCACCATATCGTGGGTAGGACAGACCTCACCATATCTTGGGTAGGACAGACCTCACCATATCGTGAGTAGGACAGACCTCACCATATCGTGAGTAGGACAGACCTCACCATATCGTGGGTAGGACAGACCTCACCATATCGTGGGTAGGACAGACCTCACCATATCGTGGGTAGGACAGACCTCACCATATCATGGGTAGGACAGACCTCACCATATCATGGGTAGGACAGACCTCACTATATCATGAGTAGGACAAACCTCACCTTGGTTTGACTGACCTCATCTTTGTGTGATAGATTTCACCTTTGGGTAACATACCTCACCTTGGTATGACAGACCTCACTTTGGTGTTACAAACCTCACCTTGGTATGACAGAACTCACCTTGGTATGACAGAACTCAGCTGAGTATGACCTTTTTGAATTCTGTATGAAACATATGATGCACAACATAATGTGTATTAGTATGACAGACATTACACAATGTCAACTACAGAAATATAATCCTGGGACACTTTAGGGTGATTCTGTTAGATATATCAGTGTATTCAGCAGTATGTAGTTATTTTTCACAATCTCAACAACCCATAGCTGAAGAGGTTGCCACTCAAGTGATGACTTATGCAAGAATTGGTGTTTTGGCAATATGTGAATGCAAGTACTGTTATCATCTACTGGATTGCCTGGCACTGACTCCATTATTTACAGGCTGCTGTGTAATGCAATGATATAGCTGGAATATTGCTGACTGAATGTGAACCAGAAAGATAGAGTGCTTGATGCAGACATGGATGACTATATGTCACCATGACTAAAGCAGTAAACAAGAGCCAGGCCTGGGAAGGATGCACTTATGGCTACCTACTTGCAGGAACCGGCACCTTTGACGTACAAGCGAGGGGAGATCCTGTCACTGCCCATCAAGAGGCAGTATGAGAGTATTCAACTCCACCCAGAGGTAGGTGTGAGAAATGACATTACTGTAAACTAGTAAACATGCATATATTGTACACTTGTAAACATACATTACTGTAGGCATGTAAACATGCATTATTGTACACTTGTAAACATTCATTACTGTACACTTGTAAACTTGCATTACTGTATGCTTGTAAACATGCATTACTGTATTCTTGTAAACCTGCATTACTGTATGCTTGTAAAGATGTACGCTTGTAAACATGTACACTTGTAAACATACATTACTGTAGGCATGTAAACATGCATTATTGTACACTTGTAAACATTCATTACTGTACACTTGTAAACTTGCATTACTGTATGCTTGTAAACATGCATTACTGTATTCTTGTAAACCTGCATTACTGTATGCTTGTAAACATGTACGCTTGTAAACATGTACACTTGTAAACATGCATTACTGTATGCTTGTAAACATGCATTACTGTACGTTTGTAAACATGCATTACTTGTACACATGCATTATTGTACACTTGTAAACATGCATTACTGTATGCTTGTAAACAAGCATTACTATATGCTTGTAAACATGCATTACTGTACGCTTCTATACATGCATTACTGTACACTGTCTCCCTTATATTTTAGTTGGCTGAAACTTTGGAACCAATGGAAGTTAAACCAGGCACTGCTGTATCCATGGTAACAGGTTTCCTGGAGGTTAGGGACAACAACTATATCTTGAAGGTTTGTGTGTTTTCCACAGTTCTCTATAGTATTTCCAAAATTATTTTTGTCTAACATTCCTTTCTATGAAGTAAGACATACATTGATGGTATGGGTATCCTTTGACTACTGTTGTATCCTTTGACAAATGTATCATTCAAGGTTTGGAAGGAAATAATGATTAAATCATATCAGTATTAAGATAATATTACTGAGACCAGAACAATTTGATTGCCACAAGATAGGCGTACATGTATTTCAGGCAGAATGTTGGTTCACATGATCATGACTTAGATGCTCGAACCAGTGTTTGAAATAAAAAATATTGCCGTGCTGCCATCAGGACCCACAGACTTGAGAACCTGCAAACCCTGACTAAACTCTTCAGGCCCTCATTTAAATAAAACCCTGCAGCTTATTGTGACAAATAAATCAAGACGTAAATTTACTGCAGGCCATATGGACCCATACAAATTTGAACGGGCCTGACGCAAGATCCACCCGCCATTGGCCTATGGGCAGACTCTTTATTTCGGACACTGTCCAGAACTATCGCTAGGTTTTTTAATTGGATAATCGAAACATCTATGAGATGCACACTTTTCATCACTTGATTAAATATGCATTGCATCTGGCATGAGAGCCACTGCATATTTTATTGTGTTATTGGTGAAGATACGCAGTCACAAAACTGCACCTACAAGAATTGTGGGCTGTTTCAATATACATGTATAACATTCCTCAATACAATACAATACATTATATGTATGTCAAGACATCCATTGCACTCTTTTTATGCATGGTCAAACAGTGAGACATACATGATGTCAGTCTGGTATCCTGTGACATCACGTCATATGCTTCCATGACAACTGAATCCACCTTGTTTGTAGGCAAAATTCAACTGAATCAAAAGCACTGTATAATGGAATGTGGAATTCTTGTTGCCGTGCGGGGGCAGTCGGGGAGCCCAGTGGTTAAAGCGTTCGCTCGTCACGCCGAAGACCCGGGTTCGATTCCCGACATGGGTACAATGTGTGAAGCCCATTTCTGGTGTCCCCCGCGGTGATATTCCTGGAATATTGCTAAAAGCGGCGTAAAACCCGACTCACTCACTCACTCACTGTTGCCGTGCATAAGTCCCCTGTAACCAGTGCTGGTCTCAAGCGGTGATTTAGAGGATTGGCTGGTGAAGCTCAGTAACTTGGTTGGTCGCGTGTCATCATACCCTCATGGTGTGGATCGTTGCTCGCAATATCAATCACTGGATTGTCTGGTCCATGGTTGACTATTTACAGGCTGCCATCATATAGCTTGAATATTGCAGAGTGCAGCATTAAACAACAAACACACACTTGTTGCCATGCCTAGTGATGCTTTTTCAAACTTGGGATATGAAACTATACGGAAGAGTTTTCATGCAAAGTGATAATCACGGAGATTTCCTTGGCTTTTGGATCTTGTTTCACAATGTTTATCATCCAATCAGACTGCGGCACACAATTTATTTTACAATGCCACATTACTCTGTGATTGGACTGACTCTCCTTGCAGCCCATGCAGAAGGAAGCTGTCCCCGGGGACAAGCGCAAGTTGGATGGCTCCAAGTCTAAGTCCTATTTGTTTGGTTCCCCCAACATCCAGTCATTTGTGGACGATCTTGGCAAGGTAAGGCAGATGATATACTACACAACTCTTGATGCATCGTCAATACTATGGGTTTGTAGACCCAACATTTCGTCAATCAATGAAGCCATGGTGACACATGTAGGAGTGACTCGTGTCTGTGTTTCGTCAAAATTAAATGAGACCAAGAATTATTCACCTAAGTCAAATGGGCCCATCTCAGTGTGTGAATCTGTGTGTAGTCCTACTGTTTTCAAACATTCAAACAATGTGTAGAGTAGTTGCACAAGAAATGTGGGATATAAGCTGAGCGTTCATTGGTCTGGGCACTTCCTTTGTTCACTCTCAGTGGAAACATGCAATTGGTTGATTTGCAGTTAAAAATAGCAACAATACATCAAAGCAGACATTTGTTTGGAAGGAAGGTCAGTGTTTTCCAACCCAGGAAGTATTGACGATACTCTTCATGGAAATACTGAGTTATTTGATTACATTTCCAATAATATATGCATGTCATAAGTAATTTGTTTGGCAGAACCATTTAATATACTGTAAATCGTGAAATTAACGCGAGCGTGAATTAAATGCGAAAAATGCAAGTGGTCTTTGCTCGCATTAATAAACAGCGCATTTATATCAACAATAAGACATTTTGGTTTGCAGAAATACCAACTTAGACATACGCTAAAAACAAACAACTATGTATTCCACATCACTGTTTATTGAGCAGCACTTGTAACAAGGGTGTCCTCCAATTAGTTAGACGTCCCAATAGTTAGACAGCTTATAACAACACTTTAAACGGTTGAGTGCACACTAATCCTTATGCTTGTTACCTCAGACTTTAAAATGGAATAGTCCAGATAAGATCTGACAAACAAAGCAAAGCAGCTTTAAATAGATAGTTTAATATTATACTTCACATTTAATGACACTTTACATTTAATAAATTTTATACAGTTTTTAACAACACTTTGTGACAGTTTTTGATAATGTAAACGTTACATTTAATAACTTTTACAGTTTTATCCCAAACGAGTGAGTGAGTGATATGGTTTTACGCCGCTTTTAGCAATATTCCAGCAATATCACGGCGTCCATCTGTTGTCTCGGACCATTTGTCTTCAATGTCTACTGCTGACCGCGACCCGGGTAACGCTGGAATGGTCTTGCGACGATGCCTGACAAAGAGCAAAGAAACAGTTACACATATGTTACATGAAATATTGATAATGATTTCATTCACTTGAAATGGTTAACAGCGAAACAAGTTAGGTGGGACCTAAAAAAAAGGTTAATTCTAACCAAGTCAAAAATACGGGATGATATTTACCTGTAAAGCGCACTTTTCACGCTCTGAAATGATGGCATCGCTGGGATGCTGGCTTCATCTACTTGAGTGACTTGCTCCTCGTACAATGCCTGCATCTGTGTGGTTTCTTCTCGCGCTCTTTTACGAAGATTGCTGACAAAGGTCACTCTGGTTTCATCTTCAGGTGGATGGTTATGTTCCGACTGATTGCGAAGAAAGTCACCGACAGTCGTACATTTCCCATTGCATGTCTTGACGACACATCTCCAATGTGTGCAGGTTTGCCTCTCACGGTTTCTGTTGTAAAGATATCCATCTGATATCAACTGCTTACTTCCACGCCGAGAGGTGATGAACTCTACTTTCCTTAAACCAGCCATCATCGATACTGATAATGATACGTACCCCAAGATCATTTTTATTTGTTTGATGAGTAGATAATCTCAACTCAACTCCTTCAACTGATCATACAGTAAGACAATTAAGCTACTCCATTGTTTACATAGTTAATCTCATGCCTATTGAACCTGTGCTGAGAGTAAGGTATTTTAGATTAATTAAAGGAAATTGTAACATATATACTCCCTAAACTGTGAGTCCCCTATCCCTACTCAGTACTTTAATCTAATAAGGACTGATCCATTACACCTGTAGGTATAATCCCTCTTTGCCTAGGTAAAATTGTCTAACAATTGGGACGTCTAACTAATGGGACGTCTAACTAATGGGATATAACCGTAACAAGTATATAAACAATGTCATTCAAGCACTCATTACATCCTGTGAATTGTCAGTGCTGGGGCCAAGACAAGAGTTCTACTCACTTATGTCATCATGATTGTGAATACTAGTTACTATTTAGTAACGTTATTTATACCCCAAAATTGGAGACGAAAGATTTAAATTGAGTTGGTTCAGTTTTATTGTATTTCCTGGGAACTTCCTTAATGCCAGTTAACAGAATAAACTCAAAAAGTATATGTTGTTCTTAGGAAAACACTATGTATTGTTTTAGCGGAAGTACTCTACTCAGCGCTAATAAGCGGTGCTATTTGGTGTGTGATTGGATTAAGGTCAGGTTGGATTAAGGTGAGGATTCTCCTGTACAGCTGACGGAAGACATTTTCTTTACGTATAGATCCACTGATTCTTGAGAGGGGGGGTATCGCATTCATATTGAGTCGCATTTTTGGCTAGGGGTCAGTGGTCGCATTCTTTTGGAGATGCATTAATTTCACGATTCACAGTACTTGTCTGCAGTTTTTACCTTATAAAGAGGCCGCCTCCGTGGTCTTGTGGTAGAGCGTCCGCCCGGAGAGCGGAAGGTCCGGGGTTCGATCCCCGGCCGCGTCATACCAAAAGACGTTAAAAGATGGTACTTGTTGTTACCCTGTCTGGCGCTCGACATTAAGGGGCTAAAACAAGGACTGGTCGGCTCGGAGTCAGTATACTGTGTCTGAGTGGGGTATTCATGTTAAACTGCGGCATGGTATCTCAGTGAGCTAGCACTATAAATCGGCATCAGTCCGGACTAGTACAAGCAGCCACACACACACATACACGTGCATGCACGTCGCTATATAAGTGCAATAATCTTGGACGCGACGTAAAACCCAATTTCACCTCACCTCACCTTATAAAGAAGTAGGAAGTAGAGAGCCACCTACTTAACTCTTGGAATGTAAGTTTCTGCAAGCTAGTGGGTTTTTTGCAAAATAATACGTCCCTAACATCCCATGCTTGTCTTATGAAATGAGACCCGTGAAGATCTGGTTTAGAATAAGTCCTCAGCAACCCATGCTATTTATAAGAGGCAACTAACATATCAGGTGGTCAGGCTCGCTGACTTGGTTGATGCATGTCATCGTATCCCGATTGCATAGGTTGATGCTCATGATGTCAATCACTGAATTGTCTAGTCCAGACTCGATTATTTACAGACTGCCATCATATAGCTGGAATATTGATGATTGCTGTGTTACACAAACAAACAAACAAAATTTTATTATGAAACGATAAAATGAGGCTGGTGACATGGTTAATTTTGTGTAAGCGTGCTCAGATGATGTGGATCGCTGCTCATGCTTTCAGTCATTGGTTTGTCTGGACATTTGTTGACTTTGGCCTAAAACAAAATTCATTCACTGGGTTCAAATTGGTCCCTGCACTGTATTGCTTTCATAAGAAGTAATGAGGTGGTCAGACGTGCTAGGATGCATTTTTTGGAAGTAAACGTGACACAACTATAAGTCATTAGGCCCAATTATAGAGACATAATATATCAACCATAACATGGTTTAAGTTGGAGAAATCACTCGAATTTGTTGATTCAGGAAGTAAAATGAAATCGCTCCTTTAGGGCTTGTTGATTCTACTTCCAGAATCAACACATTTGAGTGATTTCTCCATTAAAGATTTTTTCTGGTGTTTACAACAAACATACAAATCTCTAGCTACCTGCTACCAAGCAGCAGAAGAATGTATGGTGTTTTCAGTCTCCCTACTTAGCTGCCGTAACCATATCTCTGTGGTGCTTCCTAGAGACTGTTGATATTGACTTGTCACTACACAGATCTGCAGACTGTCCCCCAGTGTTGCCAATCCATGAAGATCCGGGGTAGAATAGGTCTTCAGCAACCCATGCTTGCCGTGAAAGCAACTATGCTTGTCGTAAGAGGCGACTAACGAGATCAAGTGGTCAGGCTCGCTGACTTGGTTGATGTATGTCATCGATCCCAATTGTGTGGATAGATGATCATGATATCAATCACTGGATTGTCTGGTCCAGACTCGATTATTTACATACCGCCGTCATATAGCTGGAATATTGCTGAGTGCGGCGTTAAATAACAAACCAACCAACCTAGTGTTGTCTGGCTGCCTACTGTGAGGGTTGTTTCCTGTGCTACAGTATACAGTGTCTCATGTTGTGTGTGTATTTCCCAGGCCGGCGTGTCCTGTATCAAGGTGGAGGAGACTGGCAGCGGAACCATCATTCATCTGGTGAGGCTGGAAATCTCAATTGCCTGTTGGCATTCAAAACCACATAATAATAATCTGCCCTTCACTAAAAGAATAGAAATTTTTTTTTTCCGGTATGCAAAGAATTTGTTGTCATGACATGTGGGTATTCTGGGCCAGAATGGCTACAGTTTGTGATCTGATTACCTATGTGCCATCGTACACCGATGACATGGATTGATGGTTATAATGTCGACAGCTTGGTGTTCCGGCCCAGATTCATATAGCTACAGGCGTCCATGACATAGCTCCTATTCCCAAGGCAAGAGTGTCCACTAGCCTATTTCAGTCTTGTTTTCACCCTTGCCCCGTTAAACCATCTTTTCGTAGCTTGATCGCTGTGCTACCCTGTGTAGAACACGAATTATATCCAGCGTGATGAAAACATGACTTCCCATCAGATCGTTGTTCTTATTCCAAATAGTTTTACTGACATGATGACCACAACAGCAGATGACCTGATCTATGACATAACAAAGAGACTCAAGATTTCATCCCTTATATTGCCATAGTTTGCTCTTACAATGGAGGCTTGATTACACAGTCTCAAGTAACACATGAAACAAGCAGCTTGAGTCGTAGTCACTGCGATAAGCGCTCAAGTTAACATACAATAAAATTTGCACTCAAGTATAAAAAAGGCATTATAAACAGTGATGGACAAATCAGTAAAGACTTAGAAAATATTTGTAATCGCTAAATTGTTGGAATAACTTCTGCACAAATTTCAAACGCTATAGCTGTGGCCATTTGCAGCAGCCAAGTTTTAGGAACCCGGATGATGATGTTGTAAAACATTCTCTCATTGAACTGTTGATATATGTGAAAGTCGTCTCCCAAGCATGTCTGTTTTAGCACAGAAAAAGCGGCTTGAAAGGGCAGGGGTGAAATCTAGACTTTGGTATAGGCCAGGGGACACCCTTTTTGGGGGAAGATGGATGTAGGTAGAACTTAGACAGTCATCTTATCAGATGTTTTAATGTTTAACAGTAGTCAATCAATGATAATTGGACAACTTCTGCATTGATGGAGATGTTGTTTTATTCCTCTTCCTCTCATTTCCTCTTCCTTCCCCCAGCCCAACGATGACACCCTGATCCAGCTGGAGAGTGATTCCACCCACATCATCTGCGAGGGGGACGAGTCCATCAGGGTCCGGCTCAGAGATACCCTCCTGAAGTGTCTCCAGAGATTGTGAGATCTCAATGAGACAAATGTTACAATGTTTCCAGAGATTGTGAGAACTGAATGAGACAAATGTTACAGTGTCTCCAGGGATTGTGAGAACTGAATGAGACAAATGTTACAGTGTCTCCAGAGATTGTGAGATCTCAATGAGACAAATGTTACAGTGTTTCCAGAGATTGTGAGAACTCAATGAGACAAATATTACAGTGTCTCCAGAGATTGTGAGAACCCAATGAGACAAATGTTACAGTGTCTCCAGAGATTGTGAGATCTCAATGAGACAAATGTTACAATGTTTCCAGAGATTGTGAGAACTGAATGAGACAAATGTTACACTGTCTTCAGAGATTGTGAGATCTCAATGAGACAAAAGTTATGATGCAACAGTTTGCATGAAAACCTCACCATTGAGACAACATATTGTGAGAACTCAATGAGAAATCAGTCAAAAGGAAATCTCATGAATTGTCTCCAGAGTCTGTTTCCACATACACTGATACTATCTGGTTTGATGTCTCAAGTTACACAGACATGATATGGTTGACGTTTCCCAACACACAGACACAATCTGGTGTGATGTGTCTCCCAATACAGAGACACATTCCGGTCGATGTCGCCATATGCACAGACAATCTTTTTGGATGTCTCCAGATACACAGACACAATCTGGTGGATGTGTCCATTCAGCAGACAATCACTTGATTGTTTGAGAGAAACACATGTTCTAAGAACATTGTTGTTTCGACCACCAATCCTATGGCTTAAGATCGTAAACAAAGAAATGAACACAAGAACTGAACATGTTTTCATAATAAAGTGCTATGTATAATAGCTATTTGTAAAACTGTTTTCTTGTTATTAAATCACTGCTGTTGTAAATAACATAAATAATATCCACAAAGTAAAAAAACAATAGTTCATGTAGAATATACCACTCAACTTTGGATGGGGAAAATCAGATATGTTATTCTGCACTCTTAAAAAATGGTAGGACTTCATGAAATATAAGTGTTATGATCGGTCGTCAAAAGAAAGATCGGCTTGAAAAATGACTGCCAGAGTTCTACCATGCACTGAGTAGGGTCATTCTGATTTTGACTCTTTCAGTGAAAGGGGTTCAAATCTTTCTGAGCTGTCAGTATTGTTGGTTTGAATTATGCACAGTAACACTGAGCTCTGTACTCTTGCATTGTTGTTGCATGTGTGATCAGATTGGGATTGCGTGATCTGCATCGTGATGAAAGCCTGAGGGTTAGTGGCATACACAAACTGGTGGAACTCAGCGAGAGGAAGCCATATGTTCAATGTGTCCCAGAATCTGATTTGACGACTTATAGAAATCGTCTGCATACAGCTATTTTGCATGCTCAGCGACCACGCCGTTGTAACACCGTTAATAAATCGACACATTCTAGCCAGACGTGTGTAGAGCAGAGAATTTGGGGACATCTCGTGTCTCATGTATTTTTTCAGATGAGTTCTGCTTCACTCTTGACTTCTGGATAGGCGTGGACGTGTCTGGAGGGGTCCTGACAAACGTCATGCGAACGTCAACGTATGGCACAATGACAGATTTTTGGTCGGGCCAGTAATGACATTGGACGGGATCATTATGGCTCATTATGACTGTCAGCGTACATGTAGGCTGACTCCCATGGGGTTTTATGCTTCCAGCACCTGACGAGAGATGCATAAAACCCCATGTACCTCGAGTGATCCTGCTACAACGGAATTATCTTACCATACATCTTTTAATATGACATTGTAAATGAATTCAAACAAATTCAAAATTGATAGAAAACACCTTTTTGATTGAGCTGAGGTTAGCTTGCGCTGTCATGTGACTTTCCTTGAGTCAGAAAGTGTGTCTTTTTGCTTTGAAGGGGGTATGTGGTATTTATTCTGCCTCTCAGAAATGGCAGGGTATGGCATTTGATATGTGTGTGCGTGCGTGTGAGGACATACATAGTAAACTTCGGTTATAACGAACCGCCAATATTAGTTGGTTATAACTGTAGTTCGTTATAATCATATATACAGCATGTATACAGCAAATGAACGGGATATTGGTGTGGTTGGTTGGTTTGTTGTTTAACGCTGCACTCAGCAATATTCCAGCTATATGACGGCGGTCTGTAAATAATCAAGTCTGGACCAGACAATCCAGTGATTAATATCATGATCATCGATCCACACAATTGGGATCGATGACATACATCAACCAAGTCAGCGAGCCTGACCACCTGATCCTGTTAGTCGCCAGGCAAATGAAGGACAAAAAAAAGTTCCTTATATACATGTAAATATATACAGTACATCTATGACGTTTAGTGTGTTTTGCTCGACTTTGCTCATCCTGAACAAAAATATTTCTAATATCTAGGGACCATGTTGAGAGAATTGATAATATAAAAGACTTCAATTTAATAGCATATATTGAGTGAGTGAGTTGGGTTTAACGCAGTTTAACAGTATTCCAGTTATATCGCGGCTTGTCAGCTTAATGCAGGTCAGTGATGCAGGTCTCAGACGTTTACCACTTCGGTGAAACCCATGAGCACGGGTATGGTGCTGACAAACCTAGAAACATAACTGGGGCGAACCGGATTCGAACCCAAGGGACGCAACTCTGCACAGCGAATCGCAGCGCGTTAGACGACTGGGCCACTCTTACCCCCAGCATATATTGAGACATTGTGAAGGATAAGGTATACTAGTGATCTGGATCCTTCAACACATAAGATGACGCATGTGCAACTGAATTATATTTAAATACCTGCTTGAATTGTGAGAATGCAGATGTAGCAGGACTGGGTCCAACGCGCACAGACCACAGACGCTACTGTGTTCTTCAATGGCCAATATGTATTCCCAGATAGTATGAACGTCAATAAAATACACGCTTAAACAATCAGGGCTACAATATAACATACATAAAATAATATACATGTATTATAAACACATACAATTCATACGCTAGTCCTGCACCATGACCGAGGAATATATTTATTTTATGAAAAGAAAATAATCTAGAAATGCATACAAAAGCAAGTCAGCCAGCTCAAGCTAGCTCTATTCCACAGCATAGGGAATTTTTTATTATTTTTAGAGTCAAGAAGGATATTGTGTAATATAAGATTTCAGAGACTAAATGTTTGTCTATTCATACGCATACTAATACGATAAGATACAGTATGTAGTATTGTTGTAAATGCACTGGCTAGAATGTATTTATATACTCGTACATTTCAAAAGTATTTTTGTCTTGATATATAACCAAATGCATTCACTAGATAGTCTATGTACACAGTTAATAAATTACATATAAACGACGTGTAAACCTACCAGGTGTGTGGGCCTGGGTTGATGTCACACCTGGGAACGATGCCGCCAAGTTTCTTCACGGTGGTACAAAACTCGTCTGCAGAGGAAATCACTACATACAGTACATGCAGACATGCCAATAAGAACAGGTATTTAACTGATACCTTCTATCATATATACAAGTATACATGTAGCGGAACATAATAGAGCAATACTATAAAATGCCTCATGCATTCATGCTTATCTTCATTCATTCATCACATGCATGCTGCGTTCACAGCACCAAAAAAAACAAACAAAACATCTTCAGATTATACATAATGTGATCAAACAAATGTATGTTCCCTGATTTATTGCTATCAGTCTATAACGGTCAGACATTGCACACAAGTATCACAGACATATTTATGATTCTACTTCATGCTGTGGATACCATTATGAGGATCCTACAAATTACTTCTTTATAACCACTGCATTCTTCTTAATAATATAGGGGGCACGGGTGGCCCAGTCGTCTAAAGCGCCGCGATTCGCTGTGCAGAGTTGCGTCCCTTGGGCACGCCAGAAACCTATGATTGTGGGTTCGAATCCCGGTTCGCCCCGATTATGTTTCTAGGTTTGTCAGCACCATACCCGTGCTCGTGGGTTTCACCGAAGTGGTAAACGTCTGAGACCTGCATCACTTCGGGCTTTCCTCCCACATTAAGCTGACACGCCGCGATATAACTGGAATATTGTTAAAAGCGGCGTTAAACCCAACTCACTCACTCACTCTTAATAATATAGGGGGCAAGGGTGGCCCAGTCGTCTAAGGCGCCGCGATTCGCTGTGCAGAGTTGCGTCCCTTGGGCACACAAGAAACTTATGATTGTGGGTTCGAATCCTGGTTCGCCTCGATTATGTTTCTAGGTTTGTCAGCACCATACCCGTGCTCGTGGGTTTCTTCCGAAGTGGTAAACGTCTGAGACTTGCATCACTTTGGGCTTTCCTCCCACATTAAGCTGACAGGCTGTGATATAGCTGGAATAATGTTAAAAGCAGTGTTAAACCCAACTCACTCACTTAATGATATATACCACAATGTATGAGGATGTGACTTGAATTCAGTATTGTATTGAAATGCCAAAAAATATACAAATATTAACCTTGCTATTATACAATCTGTCCACTTGTTTATTGTAAGATCTGAAAGATTTAAAATATAAATATGTTTTCTTTTTCAATAATATCAATCTAAAAGTTGTTTGTATGTGTGATATTCTGGTATATATATGTATGTTTGTGCAAGCGTATATGTGTATGTGCATTAATGCCTTAGTTTGTTTATGTACTGATATATGTATGTGTGTATTTGTGTGTGACTTGCATATTTGCATCATACTAATATTTGCAACAGTAGGTACAGTTAATCTAAATGTATTATTTTAAGTAAGTTTACTTTTGTTAATTGTTAAATGTCCGTGTAGGGAGGTGTTCAAATGGGCTTTGCCTGTTCACCAACCTCATTCCTTTTTGGAAATAAATATAGTTTTAATCAAACAGATAGAATTAGTTTATTTAAGTGTCACATGATAGGCAACAATCATAAAACATTGGCATACAAAGTGTCCTATCATCCAGCCTAAATAGGCTAAAAGACTGATGGTGTATGTGGACGTGAACACGTCTTAAGGTTCAGTTGCACGTGAGTTACGATTCTATGGCTTTCATTGTGCAGGAATAGCTTTCTTTCTAAGTAACCAAGGGAATTTCCCCCACCCTAATCGCCCGAGTGATTCCAAAGTGTGTATCAGCGTCGTGGATAGGTGTATGTGCCACGGAAAGTTTATCAAGGCTGTTGTTTACTGTATTTACAGAGATAATACACCGACCCACGGTTCACAATCAGTCTAACAAGCCTATCATAAATATATCGGCCTGTTCGCGTTTAAAAGAAAACATTTAGATATTACAGTAAGGAAAACGTGACAGTGACGCATTTTAAGTTTCACATAAACATTAATGTACGTTTAGAGAAGTTGATGTTCTCTAACTTACATAACGTATGATAGATAGCGTATATCAGCATGTCTATGAAATGATATTCTGGCATATTTCCGACAAAAACGTATTTCGTAGCAGAAAATAATTAGGAAACAGTGGCGGATCCATGTGGTGACATTTTGTATGCGCATTGCTTACATTGATAACATGTTGATTTGGTTGTTAAAGGAAAATTAATAATGGTTTACATATAGTGTATGTGGTTTTTTTTGGGTGGACTTCCCACTGAAATTACAAATGGTCCAACCGCCAACATAACCGTTAAAATATAAATTCTACCATGAATTTGGAGAATACTCGATTTTGATTGGTCAATCATAGGTATCAGATCACAATACCCCTCCTCTAATTGTAACAGTCGATTTGACGGCCGCATCGCTGCGGAAGCTAATAGAACAGTACTTCTTTTACAGCCATTGTTGGTAGGCATATATGTAATTATATGTACAATTATATGCAAAGTTGCGGTTGCGGTTG